AACAGGTATCCGAATTTGGTCCAGTGTCATCTTCTTCTGTGAGACGAATGGCACGAAGGGCTAGGAGAAGGCGGGACCATGGTCGACTTTCCGTTTTAGGTTATTTGTTATAGGTTTCACTTGTTTATATATTATGAAAAACACCATTTTTTTCAGATCCTTCATATTTTGATGAAAAATTCTTCGACAAATTCCTTCCCGAATATTTACAATTACAATAGTAAAGAACGATTCGTCACGAAATGCATGTCCACACGATCGGGTATTTCTCCCGGGTTTCCTCTGTGCGTTGTTGCCGCCCAGTGGTCCTTCCATAATCGAACAAGGCAGCCATCATATTCAGCCCCCAACGAGTGTCTTTTGTTCGATTCCACCATTCTTCTCATTCTATGCACAATTCGTTTATTTTTTCTGTATTTAATTCGTGTTCATCGTGTTAGGGCTGTTGGTCAGGTTCCCTATTATCGTCCATTAGACCCCACAAACAAGGGGGTCAACGAGACGTCTCATTGTTTCAAATTCATTGATTAATCGATTAGGCTGGTTAGCTCTTGGTCCCAGTTAGTTCCTATTAGTCTCTCTGTCGTTCTTGTGTGTGTGTGTGCTACCCGTTTTCCCTCCTCTACAGGTTGTTCGATGTGCAATCATAGTGTTCAATGTGCAATCGCTCTGACTGCGATGTGTGTGAATGTATTTAAATATATGACGATTTAGGTACCATACCTTAACTCTATATTATCGTTAATTACTTTGTTACATTGTGGTTTGCGCTGATTGTGATTGTTTCAACAAACGAAGTAAAAAGATTTATTCGTTTACTGCGAATATTGACTGAGAAAACAACGCCATGAAGAGAATTCTCATTAAAGACAATTCTCGCGATCAAGTGTTACGGTATTAGGTGCTCAATAATGGAAAAATAGATCATAAGTAACTCCCCAGTGGAGAAAGAAGCGGGAAAAAACCTTGGGAATACTCTGAATAGAGCTCCCTGAGCAGTGGGCGTCCTTGAACGAGTTTGTCGGACGTCGGCAAGCCCAATCAGCAGGATTCGACGTGCAACGATTCCCGGCAAGAGCACAGGAAATCACCCTACGACGCTCCAGGCAACGCTATGTACACACGCAATTCCGCTTGTAAGCCGTTGTCTTGCAGAGTGAAAGTAATCGTGGTTGCAATGGTTGCAATAATCACGCGTCTCTAGCTTCTTTATCTCGCCGTTTCAAGTGACGAAAGTGGTATATTCTCTGCGAATGCGGACAACGATGCCAAATGCACGGAGGCACTTCGCGGACAACTTGATCGCGAAAATTGTCCTTAATACGACCCCCTCCACTCAAGACGCGCTCTGAAAAAAAAACAGAAGAAATAGAAATAGTCAGAATCAGTCGTCCGGCGGATTCCATCCATAACGAGTGAGCATCTTGTTAGCATGGTGGATGTACTCTCGTTGTGCTTCGATTTTACTCTTGCCGATTAACTTCTTCCACTCATCGGCACACTTCAACGAGTCGTTGCCCTCTGAATTTTGATATTTCTAGTCGTTCAAATCCGCCTACATGGTACCCTCCCTGATTAACTGAAATCTTCAGTCGTGAGTACAGAAGCCACTTTTCTAGGGATATGTATCAAAGCCAGGGATAACGGAATCGCATGCGTATATTACGTCTTCAGCAAAAACTGAAATATACTGTAGGCGTGATCTCAGGTGTAGTCGGCTTAAATCTCGAATATATCCGAGGAATGGCGAGCAAAACATGTGCTCTTCACCTATGGCGTTCCCATGAAGTGCTTTAAATATCTTTCTCTTCAGTCTTGCTATCCCTCTCGGGCTGACTCACTTCTGATCAACAGCGGGTGTTCAGGTACCAATGCTGACCACATTGACTCTGAAAATCGTTCTGTTCCGCTCCTGCCCTACCTTTGGCACCTTC